CCACCGATCCCAAGTTTTTTTAAATTTATGTAACAGCCTCTGGTGTGGCACAGTGTCGAACGCCTTCCGGAAGTCAATCAAAGCCATGCGGACTGCTTGCCTGTCGTCTAGACCTCAGGTCCAGCTCTGGAGAGATTGCAGCAAATTTGTCGTGCAGGATCTTCTTTTCCGGACCCCATATTGGCATCTCGATAGCAGGCCGTGAACTTCCAGGAAACGTATTAGTTCACTCTTTATGATCCTTTCCATTACTTTGTAGAGAATAAATGTCAAGCTTATAGGCCTGTAATTTGTCGTTGATTCCCTGCTACCTCCATTGTATAGCGGAGCAATATGCGCCAACATCCACTTGATAGGAAGCGTTCCGATGTCAAATGAAGTTTGAAAGAGCATCAACAAAGGCACAGAAAACGCAACGGTAAGTTCATTGAGAAGTTTGGGTTGAATCTCATCTGGTCCTGACGACTTCGATTCGTTCAGGGTTTCTAATTATCTTCGGACAATTTCTTCTGAGAAGAGTGTGCTACTTATGCTTGTGATCGAGACTTCTTCTGTAGAGAGGGGAAGGAACCTTGCCTCGTCCGTGTAGACTGATTGGAAAAACTGTGAAAAATACGCAGCTTTATCCCTACCATCAGTACTCCTAACGTCATCAGTAGTTCCGCTTTGTCAGTAATGCCATTCTGCCTCTATCATCCCTCGCTCTGCGGCTGCCGGTTGGGTTCGAGAAAGAGCCAGCGAGGCACAACGGAACGAGCGAGTCCCATATGAACGATTGGTGAGCGCGCCTTACCATTGTCATCAGTAGTCCTTATTAAGGGGAATTGATGCCTGTTCGTTGGACTTCGTCGGAGGCTGCTGCTGAGTAATTTTGGATTCTGCATTGATTTTGTGGCAAATTCTTCTTGAATTGCCGCCGAGTTTTTATGATCATGTCTTTCAGTTTGTCCCTCTATGTCCTGTAAGTGTTAGAATATTCGTCCTGCCTAATGACGCAGTATTTTCTCCAGCTTCCTGTTTATTTCTTTCTTCAGGTTGCTATTTAGCCCCCAGAGCGTTTTTTCAATCCTAAACTGGTCAGTGGGCAGCGGTTGTTGATAAACTGCAGAAGGACATTCATGAAAAACTCCCAATCATCGTTAGCATTACCCGGAAACAATGAGCCCCAGTCGAGACCGGGCAAGTCTGCCCTCATCTGACTGAAGTCGTCCCGCCAAATAGTGCGTCTTTTCTGGTCTGGAGTATGCGAGATGAAGAATAACGAATAATTCCACATAAGCAGTACGTGGTCACTTCGGCCGAGGGATGGCATGGAAACGACCTCGTCGAGGCTGTCTGTTGATCCCGTTGAAACCAGATCCGGGCAGTTTGTCCTTTGTCCTCCACGTGTTCTCGTTGGGAACATTACATGTCATTTGAGGGACGCCTTCAATGTTTCGTTCAGCACTTTGCTTGCGACTGAATCTAGAGTCCGTTGTTGTCGAACGTCGTTTGACTGACCGAGCATTCATCTCCAGTTTACTTGTTTCGCCGGCTCCGGAGGAAGTAGCTATTGGGGTAGTGAAACTCAGATGCATGCACGATTTCTTCATCTTCCTGTTTATTACACTTCTTTCATGTTTAAAGAAAAGGAGTGTATGGGGGTTCAGACGTTATTTGGTTACCACTTATGGACTAGGATGATAAATGATGAAAAATATATCAAAATCTTTGAATGATAACCAATGTCAACTTATTTTGGATCTGAGGATTTCAAGTGGCTGTGCACAACCGGACGGAACTGAGGGTCGAGTCTTCAGCTCGTTACCCGTGGTATCGAGCACTTGTATACAGCATTGGGTATCTCAAAGTACGTACAATTTTTTTGCCACACAACTGCATAGGAATATTTACTTTGTGTGCATTAATCCAGCTGATGAAGTTCCGACTCGTCGGAATCGTTCACACAGTTTAAGTTAGTCAAATACCCATCATATCCTTCAACTTTGACGTGAGGTTTGGCGTGTGCGTCACAGGGACTTTATTATACTACGGCCTTTAGGGAATCTCTTGTTGCTCACTATATCAGTTTGTTATTATTTTGTGTTTATGGGTTGGTATGTGCACATACGCCTCTCCCAGCATTCTGCCAACCAAAATTGTCCCAATTCGAGATTTCTCTTTAGCGATCCGGAGTATAAATTTATTTTAAAATTCTTGATGGACGTTATTCTTTTGCCTTGAATCTGAGGATTTCTGTGTGCACCTCTATTCCATCATTTTAAGCCGTGTCATCTATCTGCTATGTAGGTCGGATTTCTCCCTTTTCCGTATTCTTACGAAATAAAAAAATTTTGGCTGTCAGTTGACTTGATATATGTTCCATTCTTCATCTATGAGGACTTCCAAACATTCAGACAACTAAATGCTAACCTTTCTTAATCAAACTAACCAATGCGCACATCGGTTTAGTCTAAGTTGGTTGAGAGCCTATCGGCGACCTTCTGCACAGTCATTTGCCTCGAATGTGTTCTAACTTGTCCAGGTCAGTGATAACACCTGTAACCCCCGGCAAAAGGACTCCGGGGATATTTTAATGTTAACGTCGTGGAAAGCATTAAAAAGAGCCTCAACAAACTTATCTCCCAAAGGGGCCTTGGACGACATATGCTTAAGCACGTGTCCCCTGATAGCTTTTTAGTCGCCTAGGGTTAGCCCGGTCACGGACTAGTCTTGCGTTTTGGCTCACTCTTTTTGAAAATTTCTTTACGCAGGAATTCTTTAGTGTGACTGACGTCAGGCACGCATCGTCAGCCAATTAGATTACTGACCCACAAATCCAAACGGATTAATAAATGTCTAGTCTTGTACGCTTAAATGCTATTAGGGATCTTATAAATGATTAACCCTTTTCATTAAAGCAGCTATTCTGCTTGCTATTAGTTTTTGGTCGTTTGTAACTTGGTTTCTATACAAATATCCTCGTATTCTTGATTAAAAATGGGGTGCTACAAGGCCCATATCCAGTGCTCTCTCCATAAACTGGTCGGAAGCTGTCGACTGTCATTTGGACTACCTGATGTTAATTGGTCAAGCCGTGTGTGCAGGAAGGTCCTAGTTCTTGGATGGGCGACTGACACCAGGATTTGACCAAAGAAACAAATGCTTGACCATACCGCATACTGGCCATGATCACCTGGGCAAAAGGAGTGACAGGATTCTATTATCACAATATGTAAATCTAAGTGGCCAACATGCCAAGCTACGCGATTTATGGTGTTGGTTAAGTGTGTCGGTGTTAAGCCACTGATGTACTGGTGCTGCTGCGACGTTTAAAGGGATGAGATAATCACAAGGCCGAGAGTTAGTGATTCACATGCGCACAGACTTTAATGAGTTCAGGCTGATGTGTTAGAACGTTAAAGGTGCCCTCAGAGTGGCATGCTACCCAGGTCTCAAAGGGGGTTGGAGGAGAAAGGAGGCGTGAAAGAAATCATCCAGATTTTCCTGGACTGGAAACAAGATGGAGAAGAAAATAATTCAGTCGCCGGACGTTGCGGTATTTGGTGACCATCTCCGATAATCTGTGCTCAAATTTGTGTTTTACACCCATACAGGGCAGCTACGGTGACTCCTGGCTTATTCCGCATTCAGCGGTCGTCGTCGTCTCGGAAAAAAGATTGTTCAGCACTGCCCTACTGCGCAGTTGGGTAGACTCCGTAGGACATGTTGACACACCAACCAGGCGCCATAACTAAAAAGCATATGCATATTTCGACTCTCGTCTGTGCCTACTACACCACGGTGCCGTGAAATTTAGATTCAGCCTTACGCGCTGCCTGGAGAAGGCGCGAAGACGGTCGAAGTAGGCCTTTAAGTAAACTCCTCCGAAGGCAGGCTGTGATCTCGGCTTATGAAATCGCATGTTTGCCCTGTTACAGTAAATAGTAATCTATATCTTCTATCGTCTCGACCCAGACCTCTTGTCCGGTGAGTGAAGTCAGACGTTGATCGAGCAATGGATCGACAGCTCATCGAGACACGCATGGTACTCCGTGGTATCGACTGGGTATTTGTAGAAAGACATTTGAGGCAATCCTTCTATGAGAATGCAAATCATGGTCCGCGCAGCCGAAATTTATCTGTCGTTCGGAAGCATCTTGCACTTGGTGCATGCATTATGATCTCTGATCTCAAATTTTTGAGCGTACACTTGCCCAGGGAACCAACTGTCCAATGGTACCGCACTAACATTTCGACTCAGGTTGCTCATTCTCCTGTCGGGCTTTCATCTTGCCACACCGTACTCTGGCTGGCACCAGTAATTAACCTAAGATATGGATGAGCAATAAGCGCCTCTCTCATGCACTTCTTTTCCACGGACTCTCTTATGTGGTTGACGTGCTTTTTGAGTACATTTCGCTTAGTAGTTTGTCGCCGAATGAAAGCAGTGGAGGGCGGGCTTTCGTGACACGTCTAGTCTACACCATGAAACATGATAAGCTGCAGTTACTATGACCTGTGCAATTCCGGTATCCTTTTTGAAACGTTTTCAGTGAAATAACTGGGGATAGTGGCAATCCCGCAAACTGTGACATCTTCAAAATGAGTGGTTATGATACTGTTTAGCCGTACATGCTGAGATGCTATCGAAAATTAGCGATTTCAACCTATGTGACGACAAATAGGTGTTTTGGCTTCGACGGTCTCGTGTAGCAGATCGCAGCTGTACTAGTTTATGAATTGGTGGAAGGGTTGGCGTTGCAGCACAGTCTAGAGCAACTCTAAAAAGGCAAACGGCTACCTCATTTTACAAGAGAGTAGCTTGTTTCTTTATCCGTCAAAAGCGTAAGACCAAATTTGTCCAGTAAATCTCATTACTGCGAGTGGTCACCTTCGGTCCGAGTCCACAGCCTTTGCTACACAAACGCGTGCATTTTCTTTTTAGTTTCACTTTTACCACTTGGGCAGTTTCTTTACTCTTTGCTCCCAGGTCCGTCACTCACTAAGACCGATGTAAAATGCAATCTGCCAGCCCTGGGGCTGAATCACCACTAAGTGATTCTGATGAAACTGTTATCCTCCAGGACAGTGGAACTCCTGAAAAGTGTGAGCAACGACCCTCCAGTAGTCTCTCATTTCTCCGCTTTGTCTCTATTGATGGACAAACTTATGAGCCCAGGCCGCACCTCACAAAACGGACCATTTACGATGCTCTCACTGCTCAGTCTTCCACCATAGTCTGCACTACCGCCAGTAACTGTTTGCCCGGGTTGTCGTTTCTGCAGTCACATCCATCCTTCTCATCCCTTCTGCAAAATGCTTCGGGGAGTTTTGCCCTAACAGACGGTAAAATGCGCCCGCTTTGTGGCGAGACAGGACGCAGTCTCGAGCCTTTCCTCGACGTGCCACCTGTTACGTTGTCGCCCTTGCAGCCCGCTTCAACATCCTCGATAACTACCATCTCATCGGCCCTACCAGCGCTCCGAACACATGTGGCCATCGCTCCCAAAGCCATCTCAGACGACCAGACTACATCATCTGCAGAATACCCCATATCCTCCAATGGAATAACTTCTCATCCTTCTGTTTTGCGTACGAAAAACCGCGAAGCTGCTCGAAAGTGTCGGCAAAAAAAGAAAAATTATATATTGCAATTAGAAAAGGATTTCAAGGAGCTTAAGGTTAGCTATTTGAATGCAAGTTTGAGTTAAACACGTGGGAGCATGTATAATAAAGACCGTACCCGGAGTTGACTTTCGCGCACTTAGATTTCGTTATTTATTTTTTCCGACGTGCAAGTTAAATTTAGTGATACCCATGATCGGCGCCGGGGTCTGCGATCGCAATGGAGTTAGCCTGGCAACCTTACTGACTTCTGACGTGTAGTCTTTGGTGTATTTAATCCCACATATCTCGTTCACGTTCCGACTACAGAGTCGACATTCAGCTATATGTACGGCACAACCCAGATTTGAGCGAGTGATGGCTTTTCTCGTAAGTACTCGTGGATACCTAACATTGGTAACCCAGGGACATGCTGTAAGGCTGATCCGCCTTTATCAGTCCCTCATAAAGTCCCGTTTTGCCTGAGAACGATGCTGTGAACTTCGCTTCTATTGGCGTTGCTGTGTCAAGAGTTTCTGCTCAGTGATTCGTTCGACTTCCCGCCTGCCGGAGGTCAACGTCTGTTCGTACTTACAGCACATCTCTGTGTCTCTATGTCACGACATGACTGGGCGTGCTCTTCGCGGTATTGTGACGTTCACAGTTAGGGAGGAAAAACGCTGGAATTTCCGTAATCTGGTGGAAGTTGGCACATAATACCTTGCGTTGTTTGCTTTCCATGATGGTAGTTCGCGGCGGATACGATCGCTGCGTAGGCATGGATGGCCTTAGCGGGAATTCAGTCAACATGGGAACAGCTCATAACGTCAGCAGAAATCTTCCTATTTTCACCATTTCGTCAACAAAAACTTGAGCCAAGGCGACTACAGACTGCGACTGACACTGAACATAATGGCTGATCTAGCCCATGTCTCGTTTATGAGTGCCTCACACGCGTTTGTTCCTCTTATACAACAGGCCTGAGTACGCTTGCATGATTGCACGCGGAAACTGCGTATCAGTGCTTCGTTCTTGCCACCTACCTTAACCGTCTGCATTATTCCTTAATAAACTTTAATTTCTTGCACAGCCACGAAGCCTCACCACCACCGCCTTGCAGCTCTTTAACCTCGTGCCGTGGCAGATTCCGTAGTGGTTTTACACTAACGGCCCTGGCTTGGTAAGAGTCTGCACAGCCGTAGAGGTCGAGACTGAGGTCTTGTCGTTTGCCTTTGATACTCTTCGACATTGCAGTTTATGAGAAAGTGAACTTATCCTCAGCGGGGAGACAATGCCCGTTGGCGTTGACTGGTACCTGCTGACCATTCATACACTAGCTTTTATGTGTTCTGACAAGTACTAGCATAAGTCCATGCAATTATCTTGCCGACTTTTTGTGCTCACTTGGCGCAACTAGGACAGGTTTGATTCATCATTGGGTTCACCGAGGACTACTCTGCTTTCTGTCGACCGTTTCTGATGAAAGCTGGAGTTGTACCAGACCCGCAGCTGAACCAAATTCCTTCTATTTTTCCCACCCATCCGCAGAAAATCGGTAAAGCATCAACTGTTTGGTCAGTTCGTGTGCTGTGAATGAATCACGCAATACCCTGCTACCTTCGCTGATGCAGACATTTCAGGCTTGTTCTGCCTGCTCCATGACCGGAGCCAGCGTTAGTAGTGTGGGCCGCTCTAATCATAACCTTGTTTGAGATCATCTCCATATTTGACTCTAAGGTATGGAGTTCATCCCTTTCCAGGCTGCGATGTGCTCGATTCGACGGCTGCTCCTTGACATCGACTGCTCTGTTTGTCGAAATCTTAAAGAACAATGGTGTTTCATAGCCAGCCAATGGTACAAGCCTCTGCGATCGGAGGCGTCGGTACTCGTCTTTGACTGAACATCTATATATATGAGCTGAATCTTTGGGCCGAGCTTTCAGCTGAAAGGGGTAAGTGGTCTCGGGTATAGTCCGTGTGACTGTGATTACTATCAACGAAAACAAGGCGTGCGAGAATTAAACAGCTTTGCATTTGCCTGTTTTTCTGATGCCCGGGTTGGGAGCGCTTCATACACCTCTGCCGCTTGACTGGCACAAAGTCTATGTTAATTGACTTCGCCCGCGTCTGGCTGAACGTCGGGAAAAGCTACTTTAACTGTCATTCTCTGTCCCAATTTTCGAGAAAAACAGCCGATGGACCGGTGAGGATTTTTTCCGTTGTGAGTTTTCCGTCGGATTGTCGCTCATAACTTTATAAGCCATTCATAAGCATTTTGGTTGAAGAAGGCTTCTGAAACTGTCCAGTTACGCGTAAAGCCTTTCCTCAGGCACCATAAACACCGACGTGCCCTTTATCGTCGGTCATTGTCCCAAAGGAGGACTTGGATCCGCCTATACGTCCATAAGATGTCGATGCAGTCGCCTCCGCGGAACCACGACACCTCCAGCTTGTACAGCCTTTTTATTGCATTTGCCACTTGGAGGATTTCCAACACACGTGACTAAACGGTGATTCTGGTAATTCAGAGGCTTGGTGGGCACCTGGAACAAACTAAGATGACTTCCTTTCGACATCCACTCAATTTCTCATTCTCATTTTGAAATTATGGACTTTAGTCGACGCAATTGCTTTCGTGGCATATTGTCAAATGACACTCTTAGGCGCATGAAACTATTGGGCCAAGTGTGACCACCTGATTCTTAATATCTACGATAGTACTTTAGACTTCAGTTGAACAAGGAAGCTTGATCGGTACCCTATCCAAAAGCTATACTGTTTTTTCTTGCCTGTGTGCTGCAACACAAGTAGAAAGGCTACTGAAACTGACATCATGGTCCAGGGGACCGACGTCGCGCTACGTCTCGCCGTGTTGTATGCCACGTGCGTCAAACCTTAGTGCACTGACAAAATTATTTAACCTTAGGGCACAGTTCCTGTTTCCCTCATGTGGGTCATAAAACTCCGTAGCCGATCAGCCAGTATGTTGATTTGGGCATGTAAGTTTATACCTGAAAAGGCGTTTAGCGAGGCGCCTTATTGCCCTCCTGTTTCCCTGCAGCCGCAGAAATATCTGCGAACGACGGTCGACAGTCGTAGTTATATTTGCAGTCGGGCGTTCCCGGGCTGGACCACTGGTGGTAATTTCGAGCTTGTTGTGTATGGGAACTTAGATTAACGTTCCACATACCGTAGTATCGTATCTCGCAATTTTAGCTCTTTCATATTGTTGAAGTAGGCGGGTTACTGGACTGGTTCGTCTTCAAAATCTTGTAAAATCTTCATTCAACGCTGTTGACAGGGACATCTCCAAGGAATCCATCTATTTTTGGTTCAGCTCAGCTGTAACCACCACTTGCAGAACACATGGTCTTTCGATGCGGCGACTAGGTTCTAGTCGGCTCGGTGAAGATCGACTCTTGTACAGTTACCAAGTCTGGTTGCTGCCTTCGTTTAGTTTAGTACCTCCCCGAGTTTATTAGAATAGGACGTTTACTTAGTCATTTGTTTTCACCTGAAGGTGCAGCGGAGACGGTTAGCTTTTGAGTTTATGGGACGAAGTTATTAGTCATCTCTAGATCACCTGCCTGGCAACGTACCATAGACCGTAGTTGAGTCTCAGTGCGAGCTTTTCCAACGGCACTCTAACTGCTTGCATCGATAACACGTGTGTCGTCTGACCTCCCTCAACATTCTCACAAATGTCACCAGGTTGTCAAAAGTCCATGCATCTGGCTCACGCGGCCCAGCAAAGTGACATTTGCAGGCCCTCGACAGTCTATAGATGCGTTCTCAACTGCTTAGTAGCCACGGATCTGCTGTGTAGACGCATCCCACATCCATGCCCTTATAATTTGACTTCCACAACAATAAAACTACACATCTCTTGTCTTCAATTCCCAAAATGATCTTTTTTTGCAATCTCCGGCGTCCAACAAACACTGCAGAAAGCGCATTCGTGATCTTTATAGCAACACCTCAGCGACAGGTAGATTTGACGCCCGTTCATAGCGAATGAATGCCGTTTTGCGAGGGCTGCAAAGCCATTTTGATTAGACTCGCCATTAGCACTGTTGACACGAAGGTGTAAACTTACCAGCTCCCGACATTTTGATTCTCAACTAGTTGCGGTTTAGCAGGCACACCTCAGAAATACAATATCTACATTTTCCTATATTGTTGCCACATTCCTGGACTCTGCGTCTCCATGGGGAAGGACCTTCATAGCTCCATGCCAACATGAAGTCTATTCTGCATTTAACTTCTCAGCAACAACCATCAGAGCACTTTACTCTTCACGTAAACGCGACCTGTTGATAGTGGTCAAAATCAGTTACGACGGACGTCAATTCATCATGGACGTTCGTCTCAAACGCATACAGTAGGTGGCGTATCTCATGAAATATTAACTGAACTTCTTAAATGTGTCTTCAGTTAGAAGGGACAACTTATGTCTGGTTGCAATATTGATTATCAGGCGGCATAGTCCCAAGATATTTAATTCACACCAGGATGCCGGCTTGGAATTTGCTTTTTTCGGACCGCCAGCAAAAACCACACTCGGCAGAAAACGGCCGCTTGAATAGCGTGGTTTTCCTGTTTTTTTTTCGACGTCCTTCTAAATGGTTGTACATCTATCGAAAGCTTACGCAAAATACCCTTTTTTGTGCTACTTTTGCAGCACGTCATGTCTTAAAGTTCTATACTTAAAGAGGATATTTTTTCGGTTTTAAAAACATTTTTCAATTCCCGAATAATTTTGTACTCGAGCTATCGTTGCATTTGTGTTTAGGGCTTACAAATTACAGGCTTATACCTTCCATGCTAGGAAAAGTTTATGTACCTCTGTGTTATTAATGAGATACCTTATAGGGCTCATTAAATTTTCAATTGATATGGGCTCCGTTGTATACTTCCTAGGGAACAATTATAAACGGACGGATGCCATACTATTTGAATGGGCATTCGTTGTCTTGAAAAATCCCATAATAACAGACTTTCTTGACACCGAAAAACGTTCTTTCCTTGAGTGTAAAATCTAAAAGAGACTTACTCTGCTATCGGATTGTTTTTCATATGCTTTCTATAAGGTGTATTTAGATTTAAAGGGGCGTCGAAAATAAGTGTAAACACGCTACTTAAGCAGTCATTTTCACTGAGTGTAGGTTTACGGGCGGCCGGAAGCAAGCGCACACAAAAGCCGGTATTTGGACGTGACTGAAATATCTTGGGGTTATGCCGCACGACAACGCTACCCTCCAACTCTCCGAATTTTGGTTAACATTTCATGATGTACGTCACCAACTTTACTTATCTGGCTCACTATTCTCCCCCTACCTTCTTCATATATTTAAAAATGATTGAGCCGGCCGAATGCTTTTTGCTTGTCCGTGGTGCACAAACTAAGCTGTATGCCGCACAACATTTGATCATCCGAGAAATAGCATGCCTTTTACATAGTTGCCTATGAAGTGCTACGTGCAGCAGTTCTTAGTTTCTTGCCCTATCATGCCATTTGACTTGCTCAATGCCTATCGAATACTCGTAGTCAAATTCTTGCCCGCACCCTTATTTCGTAGGAGCCAGGTTTTTCTTCGTACAGCGGAGCACTTAGGTCTTTGCCTTCCTTTTTGGCTCTCTCGTTTACCTTATCTCAACATTTTTGATGTTACGGATAGGATCTAGTAATGCCTGATGTAACTTAAGTGCTGAGTGTTTACCTCGTAAGTACAATAGAAATTTTTCAGGCTACTATTTTTTGCATTCACCTCGAGCCTTACCGTGTTTAAACGAAATGAACGCACCGGCATATGTTTCTGGCACTGAACAACTGCTCGGCAGCCACACGTTTTAAACCTCCGAGAGCACTTGCGGACCTTTTTTTAACTCTGTTAAAACATCGATAATACTTTATCGGTTTTATTCCGCAGGAATTGGTCGGACCAGAAACCTCTGTCCGGATATTACTTACGAGTGCGAATCTTTACTTTCTTGTTTATATGGCTTTTGCACTCCATCCTACCGTCTTATCGGCCCTAATAGCACTACTGGATTCCATAACTGTTCACACTATTCTCCTGACCTCATGACTCCATCTCAATGATGTTTTGTAAGATCAAAACGGATAGATTAGAAATCGCGTTATCATATGAAAGTGTTGTCCTCCCGGCAAGTCTGAGCTTTTATTTGATTTTCTAAAATTGGATGACATATCCGTCCTCCGAGTTTTTCCAAAATTAGGTCTTTTTGCCCTCACCGGAGTTCTTACCACTACATCGTGCATTAATCCTGCCCCTGCCCCGTTTAGCAGAAGTACGCTGCCTGCCTGCAGGAAAATGATGATCTTAAACGTCTCATCCTCCAGCGTTTCAACATTGATCTGCCACCAAAGAAACCATCTATAGCTTCAACTGAGGTTCGCAATCTGCCGCCCATTGCTCCTCACCCGACGCCACACAATGCCCCCGTCAAAGCCGCTCCGACGACCGCGACGGCGGCAGCGGCAACGTCTCCTGGGCCAAGGCCCACTTGCCCTCTGGCTGTTACCGCTGCTAATGCAATTGTTGCGTCCACCGTCCCTGCCGTTAACTCCTCACCGGTAGCCGCAGGTCAACAGGTCCATCTCATCTTGACCCCTTCTCCGACTGTCAGTTCAAGCCCCCCGACTATTGTCCTTCGACTTGCTGCAGTCGTTCAAGACGATGCCAGTAAAACCAACGCCACTAACTGACATCTGGAGTAAACCGTTAGAAAGCGCCATTTGTCTTTCAACTATGCCGTCCCTGCTGAACCGATCGATCCCTCGCCCCCCGCGTTTGCATTTTTATACAGCCCCATTTCTCATTTAAACTCCTTTTTTCCTCGGGGTCATACTTATCCTGCCCCTATCGCTATGTATCTGCACCCGTGTGTGCGGGGTTTCATGGACTTTAAGGCGAAAGTTGTTCAGGTAGCCTGGCGTTGCACTCAACTACGGCATTTCAGATTTCCGATTGCCTTGTCCCTAGTATATTATGGGCATACTATTTAATAAACGTTTACCACACTCACGCATCGTTTTCATCTTTCTGTGTTTCTGTCTGCAAAACCTTGCGTAACCGTCACCTTCTAGGAGTCGTTCAAAAACCTGCATATCCGAGATGAGTTTGGTCTCCTTCCGGCCATGTACACGGGGTATGTTAGTTACTATTATTGTTACCTTTTGTTCGGTGTTGTTTATTCATGTCAATTAACGCGTTAGTCCTCATGCAGATGACAATGATTCTGAGCGTCTATTCTCCTTTCCATTGTTGCTATATCTAAAGCGCGTCAGCAGTCCAAATCGACGGATTACTAATAACTAATCTTTGAGCAGACTTTCTCGGCGTAGTTTGCCCAAATTTTCCTCTCCATCTGGATGCAGTAGTAATTTTCATACCTGTTGACTAGTCCAGACATATGGCTTACCATTCGGTTGCTCGTCTGTAGAAGCAGCGAAGGGTTTGGATAGGAATGACACTTGTTTTTGTTTAAACCGCCATAACTGGGATTTCGAAGCTTGAGGAAGGACGGTAGACTGGCGCAACTCGAAAGCACTTGGTATTTGTCAATTCAAAGGAGATGCCAATCGATTCCGAAAGTGCTGTTTGTGTTTTTAGAGGTCATGGTTGCTCAGTCTTTTGTCCGCCTAGCTGTTCTCTGCGACCCATGAGGCGATTATGTATGCACTCACTCTCATTACTGTTAGTCTACAAGTACTTGCGACGTATATTTAACCGGTACACTTTTTTATCTGTCGGTTGTATACCTATAGCGTACCTATGCGTAATTAACTGGATTCTGCAATTTCAGTGATACAATATTATATTTCCCGTATTCCTACACATTTCTACTACTGTCCCCAGTTTTCCATCGAACATCGAGAGGCTTGTTCTTCAAAACTCTAATTTTCGGCTTTCAGCGAGAAATAGTTTTTAATCTACCAATGATACCAGGGAGCCATTCGTAACGCTTACAGCACTATGTCCTTGGCGTCACAGAGGCCCATTCCTTTTTACCTTTATCAAGTCTCCAGGATCCCACTTTGAGCATTAGCACATCGCCTTGAGACGACGCAAAGCATTCCCACCTACCCCCTTAAATTGCCCCTTCGTTTCTGAATTTGTAACCTAGGTGCATAGAAATCACATTCCATCCTTTCCGTCCTGCTGTCGCTGCTTTTCGCCGTGCATATTGAAATAGGCAATTCACTTGTTTTTTCAAATCGTTTGTACCTTTGCTGGTCTCGGTAAATCTGGCATTTTCTATGTCCGAATCCCTTTTGACGTTTTTTTCACTATTTTGCCAATACATCAGCTGCAGCACAGTACGCAAATGCTGAATGATTCACCCACTGGCAGCAAAGATACTTGCTAGAATCCCAGACACGTGTTTCAGTAAGCTGGATTTTTCACTGAAGTCTTTCACAGATTGAAAATATTAAGAACTTTTGTGAAATGGTCTAAGCCCTCTGTCTCCCCATCTAGCATTCCCATATTAGATGCACTTTGTTTATACGTTCAACTAATCAGCTACTTACGCCGGATCAGTAGGCCTTAATTTTTCACGTATATCGTCTTGATGAGTGTCCATTATATTCGAAGACGCCTCTCAGTGGACTTCTTTATCACTTACACATCCCTCTTTCTTTGTTAGAATCAATATTTTCACATTAACTTTTACGAATGTAACTTCCAACCTACCTGTTGTACCTTTTGCGAGTTGTCTCTTATAAAGCCTTACCTGTTTTATGGCAGGAAAAGGCCGAACTACCTCATACATCCATTTTTACGACTATGTACAAGGGCTGAAGTTGGCAATTATCAAAATGTCCGGGGCACCTCGAAAAGCCAAATGAATCGACATTTTGGAAGAATGTGGAGAGTTTTGACTTACACAGGCCTTGTGGCAACGTTTCAGACTAGTAGCATTGGAGTATTATAATTTCCGTCGTGCTCTCCATGTAATCTCCTTCAGTTGCCGACTCACTAGTTGCTGGCATAAATTGCTTATTTTAGTGAATCAATTTATGCCTCCTCATACGACTTGTAGTTCGTTTTACTCTGTAATTAGTATCAGAAGATGGAACGATTCTTGCCTCTTCTGAATTTCAGTCTAGCCGGAAACAAGGCCCTGCCACAAGAGACCTTGGAACCCTCAACCACATTCGGAGTCCCTGCCGGAGCCGTTTTCCCGCATCCAGCGGCCGAAGCAGAGGCTCGACGCGGCCGTGAAGCCACGAAGATGCAGGATATGCGTGTTCTTGGGGCCACCCAGGGTCAACATGCAATTTTGCGTCTTTCAATGGAGGAGAAGATTCTTAAGCGCATGCACCCGAGACAGCCATGTCTTTTTTCTCACCACCCACTGGCTGCCCAACTGGATGGTAGCTTGGATTCTATCGATTTTTGCGACGTCCTCAACAGTAAGTTTGGCCATACGATCGTCTGCCCGATCTTATTGTCTGTCGGTTTGCACGCTGTGACGTTACCGTGTCTCTCCCCACCTATGTCATGGCCTGTTGCGTATCAACTCTTACTCTGCCTGGGCGCGGTGTATCTGTTGTCTATGTTTCACTAATGACCTAGCTCTTTAGCCACCACATTTAAAGGCGAACCGAATCTAAGTAGGCAATTTCTTTCCGTAAAACCGACTTCGCCACTAACAAGGTCTGTTAAGGAAGGTTGTATCTGGCAGTTACATGACTTAGCTGTACACCTCTGTCTTTGTGGTTGGGTCCTGGTCTTTTTTGGGCTTCTTTATGGATTTGCTGAAAAAGACGCCTTTATGAAACCTTTTGCGTTTCGGCAGTCTGCATCATGCACATCATTCCGGAACTCCAGGTTGACAGTTGACACTGCGCGGTGTGGCCCTAGGAATTCAGCAAAACTCGATGTTGCTGTCGAGTTGTGATCGCTGGGAATTCTTTATTCTTTGCAAACTGGTACATTTTGTTGAAAGTTAATGTTCCCCTAATTCCATTTACTTGTATTGCATGCTCATTGCAATTTTATGCATTCGAAAAGCGCTCGATCTCCTGAAAATCTTACTGTAGGTGACCGAAGTCACAAATTTGAGAGTTCCTTTAAGTTTCCCGTTTCTTTTATGACTCATAGTGGTCGTGCCCTCTACAGTTGTTTCTACTTTACAAGTTTCAACGTCGCAGGCAGGCTGCATTGAAGATCGTTTAGTTCCGGGTTCAGGTATTAACCCGACGAGCTTTTGTAAAAATTTAAGGACTGAATGTGTCAACCTGACTAGCTGTAACCTGGATTTTTCTCATGGGGACGATAGGACATCAGCTAGGCCACAGAGCTTAAGTAAACCATGATTTATTGCGGATGATTTAAGTTGGTAGGCGAATGTGGAGGATTCCAGTAACTTGGTTTTCCGTACATTCTTATGCACCTTAGTTTTCCCTTAGGGATTGTGCTTATGCCCCCAATACGAAGTTTCCTTCGGATGCCGCGCACCCGGACGAGCGAGGTCCATTGAGGTTTTATCAGGTTTTATCTACTATGTAAAAGCGGCCTGTTTGGATGCATTTTTGGCGAATGGTAGAAGTACAACCAGATCCTCATAAAGGCGAGGAACAAATTACTCCACCGATTTTGCCTCATCTGTTCCATCTCTGCCATTCATCTGGTCATTCTCTCTCCCTCTCCACATACACGGGGTTTTTTTCCGGTTTTTTTTCTGGGTAATGCGAAAGTTGGGGACTTTTCCGAACCACCAGACCGTCCTTCAACAAAGGGCTTGTCCTCGTAAATTGCATGAAAACTTCTGCCATCAAATGCTCCATCTAACTGTGGCACCAGGGCTACTGGCGAAGTTCATCTGCGGGCATAGTTGTGCTTGTGATAGAAGTCGTCCAGCAGCATATTCTTGCTTCTCAATAGCCTTTTTTCCTTGGAGAAACAACTTTTCAGATAAAATCCATGTATCATTCCTTTTTAGATCCGGAAGACGCGGAAACAATTGGATGGCCACACTTGCTAATGGAACGCCAGCAGGGCATTTTGTAATTTCGCTTTTCTGTTCTGTTTAATTCAAGCGTTATAAATGCCCCGAGCTCTCTCTCTCTCTCTCTGTCACTTATTTTTGGATCTCGCTTGAAACTGTATGGTCGTTGGCTACGGTGCTAAAAATGCGCCCTACAACCGGGGGCCGGATGGGACAGTAGACCAGACCGGGGGGTGTACAGTAATTAATCCGAAGCTTAGTAAGCACACATGATACATCTTTTTCGCGGAATTCGTTGTGACTTTCCCCACAAGATTACTGTCTGCTGCACGGTCCGCTTCCGAATTTGAATTCTACAGAGGCGACGTCAAAAGAAACCACTTTTTTCGGACAGGGAATTGTGGTTTGCACCGGCTGAGGGATCAATAGTTGAACCGTCGCAAACGGCGCGGTTCGCTACTGTCCACGGGGTGGGTGCAGGGACGGTGACTTGCACGTGAATCTTTCTACAGTGAAGCTGACTTGCGATGCATCTACCCCACTGTCTTTACCTCTACCAGCCGCGTTCCCATTGTAAGACGACGTCAAGACGGCTGGAGGTGGCCGCAGATGCAGTGGCTGAAGAAGCCAGACTGTCCGTCTACGCGTGCCACACGTGACCATATCCGTGGCTCCGTGCGTACTAGGCCTCCTTCGGGGGCTCACGAATCCCACGTGAATGAGAGTGCCATAAATGCCGCATTTACAAAGAACCATTGCAGCCCCGTCTTCAGTGGCGAGTAGGAGGGAGTTACCCGGTCAGCGTGCAACCTTGCAAATCACGACTGTTGGCGCATCATGACAGGATCAGATGGGTCACACTTATTGTGGCGAGGAGTACGCTGATTGCCGTGAGCACGGATTCCCCAGGATTCGTTCCAGTCTCCCCTCCTCTGTACACCAATGACTTGTCCGAGCTTGTCAGCCGGCATGAGATGAGATTAACCTCAGCCATTCCGGTGACTTAGAACTTAACCTATTATGTAGCATATGCAGGCAGAAGCAAGTTCAAAATTCCTTCCGCATTACCAGCGCCGGTAAGCATCGGTTTGCGTTTGGTGTGTGATGTATAGGCGGCTTTGATATATACACTTAATCGGGTGTGTCCACTCAGTGACCGCATCTGGATATCATGTGAGCCTGAATGATAGACGATACTTTAGCGATTGTTGTCATGGGTGCGCATGAGACCGAATAGACCCATTCGGTGATTGTACTTGCTGATATAGTGTGAATAAGGAAGGCGTGAGTGACGGCCGATGGTCCAGAAACTACTTTTATCGTTCTGCGGGGGCTTCGCTGGTGACCGGTCAGATTGATGTGCCACTGTGAACGGGTTAGCGGTGTCTGTATTCCCGCTGGTAGTTAGTGTTCTTTGAGTCCTGGTGGAATCCGCGTCGTTTTGGCTTCGAACCACCCGACTGGAGCGAACCGGTACTGTAAAGATATTTCAATGACGATAGGTGGGGTCAGTCTACTTAATGACGGTGCCGGTGTGGTTTGATTGTGCAAGGAGTGAATTACTGGTGACGGCATTGCAGTGAGCCCGGAGGTGCCCAACAAGACCAGTCTTGGCCCTGAACGCGTGTTGACAGTGGAGATTTTGATAGGGTTTGTATTGTCAGCGCTGGTTCGCGGCGTTCAAGTCTCTCACGCCTTTCGTCTCACTTTTGCCCCCCCCCCCTTTACTGTTGGCCTCGGCTTTCACAGATGTTCGCCATGCCTGACTGCCCTGTGCACTTGAGGGGTTTCCAGCGTGTCCTTATAGCGTCATTTTTGTTCTTGCTTGCGAGTTCATGTGGCGGCGTTCCTACAGAAGGGTTGCTTCGGCGTGCACCCATCAGTCACACACACGAGTTGCCTAGTCAGTTGTAGTTGGATATGCCTTATGAAAACGTAGACGCTCAGCGTACCGGTTAACTTCAGGTCCCCTTTTGTCTGGGATCCGTTCCGTCCACTTTGCCTTTTATATACCTCAAAGACAACTTAGACGGGAGCGTTTTAGCTTTCGTGCCTGACTTAGGTAAGTTATTCAGGTATCTGAGGCGTAAAGTAATATCGCGGAAATGGCAGTCATGCAAATCCTACATAGGCTGTTAAGGAAGATGTCCTTGAACTTCAGAAATCGTTTTATACTTCAAGGGTTTTGCTGCCTCTACAGATCCCGGCTGCAACCTCGTCGTCGATTTTGTTGGTACTTGAGGAATTGCTACCCCGATAAAGCATTCGTTTACCGCTGCGGAGCCGCTGCCACTAACATTAGCCGAAAGATTCGATAGCTGGCCATGAGGACTGTCTTCTGCGTGTTAATACTCCGGAGTTGGGGTATTGGGATGAATATGTCCGAACTTCCCTGCCTGTTTACCTCACGTGTGCTGTTCTCTGCCCGGTTGTCGGCAAAGACGAGGTCATATCCTGCCCTTGAAAATTTTTGCGACGGCCTGCATACAGCGAATTTCGGAGTTTCCCTGTCCATACAGTAGTTTATGTCGATGCCTAATCGATCCTCTCGGTTGTCCCCCACTGGCCTTCCAGAAGGCATGAAGCTGAGAAGGTGTGGGGCATAGAAGCAGTCCCTCTCCACTCCGTATGTTGCTTCTAAGGCACCCTATGTCGATCCATTGTCCGTCGCGAGTTCCATAACGCCCCTGAGAAATGAAGTCTCTCGGTAGTTGTCGCCGACTTCTTTTGGTTGCGTCCTTTAAATCTTACAGAATCTATCCTTGAGCGTAGTGCTGAACTTGTTGTGTTTTCAGGGCTGCGACACGGAAGCGATCAGGTTGTCAGCCCTTGCACCCATCCTCATCTCCAGTCGGTTTGATCTAGTTTTGCGGTGCGAACACGGTTTAGTGTGTGATAAGAACGTGCAGTCAATAATAAGTCTTCCCCACCCTAACCCAACAAGCGCACAAATCTACGCGCCCTCTGCTCTGTGTGTTCCTCACCGACCCTGTTCGATGAGTTAGAATATGAATCTTCAGTACAATACACATACTTATGTCAGACTTCGCTCGGACCTTTGTCTAATAACACAATATTCATCCATCCCAGGTCTTTTGGTACGATACCATCATTTTTCCTGATATTGCGGGACATGTCCCTGCCGTATGAGTACACATAACAGTAGAGGCAGTATGACTCAGTCTCGTCTTTCGTATAGCGTGCTAGGTGCCTGTGTTTGGATGCCAAAAGCCTGCACTGTAACCAGGGGGGAGGGGGGGCTGGAATCAGGGCAAGTGGATATATGCAAATGGAGGACGTACGAATGTGGAAACCACTGCCTCTCACAGACTCGCCATCGCCCGTGACACGTGCACGGGGTAACTTGCATAACCCTGTGCACTGTTCGCAGAGCCGTGACGTTTCCGTCCCTCTTGTCTGCAAGGAAACCAAACACACACACACACACACACAACTCGCGTTCGGCCTGGGCGAGGGATGCGGACGCCGGCTATTAGCGTGCACCCCCTGTCTTGGCGATGCATGACAGTTGGGGGTGGAAACTAGGTCCACTTACTCACAGGTTCCTGCCACCATGTGTGCTGCACCGATCCTTTGTTTCGCCAAACGCTACTGAAAAACCGCTTTTTCGTAGACCAGCTTAGTTCTTGTCCTGAAAGTGTGAAGTGCTGCTGGTCGAAAAACAGTGAGCGGCTTAGCCACCCACATTGAAGTTCCTTGAAGGGTCTCCGCCCTATCATCTGCACTCAACGCAGTAGTGCTCCTGTTAGTAGTTGAGGCACTGGACTTCACTTAAGACCAAAAATGACTGACTGTGTTCAAGTTTCTGTCAGGGAAGTATGGCTTTCCGGGTTGTAGCACAAACCTGAAGTGATCGTTACCTCTGCGTGCCTGACGGTATGCTTCTCCGCCAAGTTTGCTGTTGCCGAAATTATTATTGCAAAAAGCAAATTGAACCGATTTAAAGTTTTTGTTGGTACTCATTTTGGTCAGTTTTAGGGACCGAGATGCTATTATGGCACATGCGCGTCCGAGTAAAGATAAGTATTTTGACAACAATGCAGCTGGCTGTAGTACATTTTTGTTGGCTGGTCACATTCCATGCACTCTCGCGACCGATGGCACGTCTAGTGCGGGCAGTTTAGTCAGGGGATTAACAGCTCACGGTGGATTGTCGGAATTGTGTGATTGCCGCAACGGAAATCCCGGCTTAACAGTAGTCAGGCTGGAACGGGCCCACCTGCGAGTCACATACAGTAGGTGGGCTAACTCGAATGTCAACCGAAAAGATTAATTAAGTTGGGTTGTAAAAATAAACATTATACAGCATAATTCTGTATTAATTCAGTTACCTCAGGATGCCAGCATTCGAACAAACTCCTCCCCGGCTGCATGCAAAAACAATGCTCTGTAAGAATGACTACTAAGGTAGCATGAATTTTTCTCAATGAATTTCGATGCCTTCAATAATTCAATTATATTTGATGGAAAACATGCATAAAAATATTCTTTTAGTCATTCGGTAGAAAGTTACGTCTTCCAATTTTATACTCGAACGAAGGATATAATTCGGTTTTAAAAAAGTTTTTAATTGTGAGATTTTTTAATATTGTGAGATGGCCGTTCGTAACACGTCATGTCTCTGCATTTGCCAATGTGGCTTGTAAAGTTAACAGTATGGCTCAAAATGCACTGCTAAATTTTATGAACTCTATGTGATCTCCTCGTAATAGCGTAGAGAAATGTATGGTTTTTCGTACGAGGAAAATATATGACTTGTAGTTTAGAAACCCTGAATGCAGGTGTAGCGGCAAGTCGGGTTCAAATTACTCAAGAATTGGAGAAGGTTTTAAAAACCGAAGTATACCTTCCTTCGAGCTTAAAACTGGAAGGAGACGTAATTTTCGACCGAATAGGCAAAAGAATGAATATTTTTATGCATGTTTTCCATGAAACATAAGTTAACATTTAAGGGCATCGAAAATTGATGAGAAAATGCATGCTATTTAAGTAGCCATTTTTTACAAAGTATAGTTGTTGTATGCAGCTGGGGAGGAGTTCATTCGAAAGCTGACATCCTGAGGTAACTGAATTATTATATACAGTGCGTGACCGATCTCATGAAATGTTGGCCAAAATTCTGAAACGCGTTCCCGATTAGGAAGGAGTACTTGGGCACGGTTGTTATACTGATTATCATGCAACATAACCCTATAATATTTCGGGCTCTCCAGGATGTCGACATTTGAATGCATTTCTTTTTGACCTCCTGCAGAAACCACACTCTGCAAAAAAAGACTACATAAGTAGCATGCATTTTTCTCATTGATTTTCGATGGTCCTATAAATTCAAATATATTTTATAGAAAACATGCATAAAAATATGCTTTCTTTTGCTCATTTGGAAGGAAATAACATTGTCTGTATATTTTATGCCCCACGAAAGTGTGTATTTAGGTTTTGAGAAAGTTTCCCAACTCCCGAATCATTTTCAGTCTGATCTGCCATTGCATCAGCGTTTGGCAATTTCAGTCTACAAGGTACATGCTTTCCGCGTAAGGAAAGTCATATATTCCTCTATGCCTTTAAGAAGATACCACATGGGGTTCATGAAATTTTGCAATGAATCCGAACTGTGTTGCACATTTCATGAAGAGCATTGATAAACGGACATGTGCGGTCTTGCATGCATGGACATCGCACGGTCTTAAAAATCTCATAATTAGAAACTTTTTAAAAACCCAAATACACACTTTCTTCGGACATCAAATATGAAGATAATGTTATTTCCTACCAAATGAGCAAAAGAAAGCATATTTTATGCGTGTTTTCTATAAAATATATTTGAATTAATAAGACGCTCAAAAGTCGTTAAGAAAAATGCATGCTACTTAATTAGTCGTTTTTTAAAGTGTGGTTTCTGCAGGAGGTCAAAAAGAAGTGCATTTAGAAGCCGACATACTGGCGAGTCTGAAATGTTATAGGGTTATGCTGCATGATAATCAGTATAACAATCCCACTTAAGTAATCCTTCCTAATCGGAAACGCACTCCAGAACTTTGGCTAACATTTCATGAGATCGGTCACGCACTCTAATTATGCTGCACAATGTTTAGTTTTATAACTCTGCATAATTAATCTTTTCGAAACGAAAACGCCTTTTGGAATTTTGGTTGACATTTCATGAGTTAGCCCGCCTACTGTACACGGAGTATTGGTTGTTTTCACAACTTACAGGAGTGCCGCAGTGTCTCGACCTAATTCTCGCGGTCTACTACTCGATTTTGTTCCAGGAACCCATCTTCTGGACCTGCGGCCTTCTTTTTTCGTCTGCTGCAGGAGAAATTACTTTTAGTGAGTGGAACGGATCGTAGTGATTGGGACCTGTTTATACAAGCCAGCAGATGCGAACAAACCTGCCAACAGTTCTTGTTGTCACAACTGGGGTCCGTTTTCTTTATGAAAATCAAAACCCGCCTGCCTCGTCCCGCATTTTTGTTTTTTTTCAAGTTTACTTATTGTAACTTTTGTTAAGCAGACATCTGAATGGACTGCCGGGTGCATCAGCTCTAAGCAATATATGTGTTATCAGGATTTTCTGTTCGCTGCAATCCCCCCTCTCCACCCACTCACAGAGTTTATCTCTGTAACCCAGAAACTGCGTGTTTTTCACACCGCTGAGCTAAGTTAATCACTGGGTGGTCGTATGAAAGTAGCTCTAGAATCATATTCTGTCATTACTTCCAAAGCATCTGCCACACGATCTCCAGCGCAGCATTTATGGGCGGAATCTCATCTGTATGCGCAGTTGACTGTCTAGACTGCATTTTATCGGAGCTACACCCTACTGAAGAAAAACTTGTCGTACAACTGCTGTGCGCATGCTGCAGTGTTTATTAACAGTTAAATGTATTTGTTAAAAAGTGAAGACATGGATATATGTAAGAAGAGCGCAGTGAAGGCAAGAAAAAAAGGTGGAGAAATGGGTGCAGGACAGTTTCGCATCTATGTACACGCCGTCTAGTTTACGTTACTCTGTCTCCAGTCCCTACACAAAACTGGCTTCCCGAATTGCTTGATATGTGTACTTCGTGGGTTTGTCATGTCCGAAGATCGTGTCATCTGGTGGAGCAGGCTCCTGTCCGAGTGGCTGGGTTGTCTGCAATCGGGAGTAGGGGCGACTGGGGGATATGAAGGTTAAGTCACCCGCGGTTTGATGGTGCAAATCCACACACCCACGGTCGGCGAAACGGCCGGATGGCAAGGCTTCAGTCATGGTGCCTAACCGTCCAAGTGTAGCACTGCGTTGGTAGCGTCTAGAGCCACCGACGACGCTGTGGTATGGACTACGAGCGACGGGGAATTGCCTTGAATGGGCATCCATATTATTGTTCAGAGTCGTAATCTCATAGTAATTCTGCAGGGGATATGTTGGCATTCGATGGTTCGGTGGACTCTCAACAGAGTCGATGAGACAACCATAGCTGGCAGACTGCTTAGCGAAGGTGGGGGTCTGTTGACTCGTGCCTGTGTAGTCGGCTTTAATAGGTGACTCGAGCAGTGGCTTGACGGTGGAGGGGAAAAACTGATTCCGCGACAACTGGCTCCGCAGTCTTTCGTTGTCATTGGCCAATGCATCCAGACTCTGGTAGTCCGGAGATGGGGGATTTGGCATTTCTATAAAAGCGAAAAGAAAACTTAATTTGCGAGGTTAAACATTCTTTTGAAGGGAGTATGCCTACAACTGCGGATGAACTCTTATTCACATTCACAGTTTATCATGCGTTCTAGGCTAATCAGACCGATGCCAAAAGGGTTTATGGTGGACTGTACCAGGTGACCAACTGAAGTTCATATTAGGTCTTTGACGACACCCTGAGGATGCATTTTGTATGAAGTACTGGGCGTTCTCTGTGGTTAGGAAAAGGTTTTGACGAGGAGTCTCCGTTTATCGATGCAGCATGAAGTAATTAGACGCAGGGCGTTTACAGGTTGTACTGACCTTTGGGGCCCAGTAGTGCATGATATTCAGGGCGTTGACGTCGTCGGAATAGTTGCAGCCGCTAACTTCCGCTCATCAAATGCCAAACTACACATTGAGACTGCTCTGTTATTAGGTATCCCCACTACTGGCATTCGTTTCTACCACAAACCGGCAAAATGGTTGTTCTAATCATTTAAAGGTCTTTACTCTCACACTAGAGGTTTTGGAAGTTTCGGCTCACTTTACGTAGACGTGGACCAAGCAGATTGCCCGTGAGAGTTTATTACTGCAGACTGTCGCTACACAACTAGGAGAGGTCACAAACAGGACAAAATCTGTGTCCTGTATGGAATATATTACTAGACTGTCCAGCGCCGATTTCGCCTATTTCGAAAATAGACCTTGGTTATACGTCAACAAAAGTAGACCGAAAGACACAACGGATAATTTTTGAGGAGGAGATTTCACTGCGTAGGAAGCTGTCCCTACTTTCATGGGTTGATAGACGACCATGGTATCTGCGAGATTCTGCGCCGAAGGCCCAAAACGTCTCGTGGGATCTAAAGGAAATTTGGTAAGACTGACTTATATGGCTCCCTAAGCAGGATATAAGAACAGGAGTCGCCTGCAGTATGGGTGCCTTTGAGTCAAATTCTAGTAAAATAAGGGTTAGGGTCGGTCAAGGACTAGATTCAAGGTTGGATTTAAAGTTAACTGTAAGGTAAATCAGGATTAAGTTTAGGGTTAGGGTTGGAGCTAATGTTAACTACTGAGTTAATGTCTAGTGTAGAGTCATGATTAATACAAGTGCAACGGCTTGGTTTTATATTAGGGTTATTGTAGGGGTTAGTACACGTGAATTTTTGCCTTTTCCGGATTTATGTGCAGGCTCGTCTTTATTAGTTGGGCGGGACATTCCTATTCTCACGCCCTGTTTAGGCGACCATATAAGTCCGTTTTTCCGGAAATTTCTACAAGAAGAAGGAAACTTGATTTCCGAAGCACGGATCTTGTTCGTCCGGCATTTCTGGTTCTCCCTCGAACTCACCACGATGGAGAGAGAACAACAAACAGAAGTATCAAATGCAGAGAAAGTGCGTCATAAAATTCAGTGGAAGTTCCTTTACGGTGTCCTGCAATAAAGTGTCTCCCGTGAACATTGCTGCGAAGACTAATTAAACCATCACCCAGATAGTTCACTTTTATTGAGAACACACTTCAAGATTGCGGCCAACATTTCAGGAGGTAGGCGGGATATTGTCGTTGAGAGACAAACTAAATTGCACGAACGATTTTTGCACATAGCAACTACTAGGTGCAACTAAACCCATTCCAAACGGCGTCCTAGAATACTTTCCAGGTGGGCTCGCAAAAAGGTGAGAACGGAATAGCTATAAAAATATGCCTGAGCCTGTCTGCGCGCCTTGCAGTCGGTTTGTGGAATGTTATACGGAGGGCAGATATGTCGTGACAGCAATTTCCTATTTGTGAGCTCCGCAGTTGCCAGGGTCTAAATTCGTTGACAGGTTGCGCGCAAGTGTCCCACACTAACACAATTTCATCTTGAGCCCTCTGTTATTTGCAAGGCCTTTTCCCGAGGGAGGCGCACTTGGTATCGTCCGGTCTACAACTCACCTAGCGCATGTGTGGGCTTAGAGACCGCGTGGCTGACGGCTGGATGAAAAGCAGGTCGCATCTGACAGGCCGCCATCTCACCGGGACCGGAGAGTATTGTGGATACGACCGGAAGAGTGCCGTAAATACGGCCACCGGAGGCAGTCACCTGTTGGCCTCCACCCCCGGAGGAGAGACCATTGAAAATTATGGACTGCTGGCCGCCAGAGAGGACAAATGTCCCCCCAGCAGCGTAACCAGGCGGCACATTTCCCACCGGGCGCAGCATGGGCCGCGACAGTGGCATGCATTGTGACGGTATCATCACTAAACGATTTTGGTTATCCGTCCTTCGAGGAATGTGTTGTACTCCAGCAGTCACCAGAGTGTCAGGCAGTGTGTCAATTCCCTAGAGAGAAAAATAAGGAAAATGAAAGACGCGTTTGGGCCAGAGACAAAGGTTGTCTTGTTACACAGCTGATTTGACACCTAGCACTGAGGAGCACCACACTGAGGTTGCAGAAAGCTGTAGATGAGCTTTAAAGAGCATGTGATCCGCAACAAGTACCATGAGATAGACGTGGACCATCGGACTTAAAAGTATCGAAGTTGATTACCCTACCTCGGTACAGTCCCCGTGATAAAGCGCTATTTAAAGAACCTGTTTTTGTCTTGAGGAACTTGACTGAGGAGCGAACGTTCTCTCCACCAGGACTGTAAAACGAGTTTATGGCTGCTTTAAGGTAATTTTAGGAACGATAACAAAGTGTGGGATAAAAAGACCACTCCTCGCAAAATGATAAACACAAATGGCTGACAAAAAGGGGCCGTTCGGTGGACTTGTTGCAGTCTTCAATCGTGTCCTGCCCTACCGTCATTAATGAGGTCACTTATTCGGTCCCATATTTAGACCTTCCTCATACTCCTGCTTATGCTAAGTTTGCGCCTAAAACGGGCCAACAAGGCGGTTTGACCAAGGTCCGGACAGGCGTATTGGGAATCTGCACCCATAACATATTTGGGTTATCACGGTCAGCCTTCTACTGCCCAGCGGCAGCAGGTGTTTTTGAATACCTGATCCGTGCTCCGAAAGTCATCGGTATCAGCGTGAGCAGGATCAACCTAGTATAAGGATTCAGTGGTAACAGTCAATGCCCGACTTGAAACTGTTGCCAGAGAGGACAAACAAACTTCAAAGGCGAAGGCAGCAGACGCTGGATATTGTCGCATTCGCCTTTTCTCTTCACGATAAACTATTCCGATCCCCACACAGACACACACACACTTGCGCCAGGTGCTGAAAGGTAAATGAAAAATCCCTCTTGAATCCGTACGTGTCGAGGGAATTGACTGGGTCCCTTTATGACAGCTTTTTCACCAAGCAAGTCCTTCATTTGTTTGTTGGGACGGTATTTATCCCAGTCGAAGCACGACTGTCTCACATCCTGCCTCAGATAGTTGTAAACGCGAGTCGTCACTACCCCCAGATGGTTTGAGGATGCTGGTGGGTAATGAAAACCTGTTCCCCCTCCAACTTGCGTCATCCACGGTCCGTTGCTATTTGCAATCTCATCTCTGAGGCATTGCAGCGATAGCACAAGTCAGCTGATTGCTGCTTTTTCATACTCTAACTCAGTTCGCAGAATCAACACCCACCAGAGAGTCGCCATTATGACGACGATGTTAAGGAAATCTATGCGTGTGTCCGACGGGTTGCAGGCAGAGCCTTTGGTGGCCCTATTAATGTGCAGTAACTA